TTTCACTCTAATAAATTACTTTTACTCTCCAGACGTCATACACTCATCCCAGAGTACTCGATATTCCTCGGGGTGGGATTATAAGCAACCCCTTCCTTTCACGCTAATAAATTACATTCATTACAATAAATTAATACAAACACAACTGTCGACAGAAACATATAGATCTGGTCACATTCACTCCCCCAGAGTACTCGATATTCCTCGGGAAACTGGCTAACAATTTTGAAGTTTGGAAGAACAAGTTTATCCGAAATGATCGACATTGTGCATTAAAAATTAATAACATTTTACAATTTATGATTTATTTGAGATTCCTTGATGCGTTCCGCGAGCATCTCTCGTTTGTTATTTTCCTATCACACTTATCAGCTCCTTGCATTACTTTCGGCATTTCAGTATATCGGCAGGTAGTTTCGATATATTAGGCAAACATAGATTAACACGTAATAATGACCAAACAGCCATTTGAAAAACGGTAAGAATATTTTTTTCTTTGTAAGATTTAGAAATTTTTGAATGTATCAAAAAATTCTACCATATTTAAAAAAGATGATATCTATTTGCCTCACGATTTCAAAAATTTTCAGTTAAGACAACTTACAAGTTGATCTCACTTTTATGTCCTCACTATTGCGATTCACGCAATTAGGTGATCATATTTGTATTATTATGGCCTGCATGATTAGAAACATAGATAACGTGTTATCTTGGACGTTTTATTTTAAGGCGAAGAATTCGGCTTTAGATTTAAACACGGTTAAAAGCGAGGGGCGAGCTTCATGTATAAATTCCGAAGTTGGTAACTTTTAATGGCCTCATTACTGGCTGAAAGTAGAACACTACACCGAGAGCAAATAAAAAGGGGAAATTTTAAACGAAGCAACTGTGTTAACAATGTTCTTTACTTGGTTTACTTTTTCCAATTTGTCCGCAATTTCTGTGGCTCAGCTCGCTTTTCGGTATTGTTGTTTTTAAATAATTTATTCAATTTTTTTTTATTAATCGCATTTATAGGAAAGCGTCTGGTCGAAATCAAAAATATTTCTTGATAATTCAAGTTTTTTCTACGTTATTGATCAGCATCAATACCGCAACACTGAAAAATGCTCTCCAAAAAGCAATATGTTAAAACATAATCTAACTTTTCTTTATCTTTATGGTTTATAATTCTAGAAGAAGATATTTAATTATCGATTCAATATTTTATTTACTTTATTTATTACAGACAATAGGGTTCATAGTGGATAAGAAGTAATATGTCGATTTTTTTTTTTAATTTTTGTAAGTTAATATCAAAATTGTCGACGTTTTAAAACTTTACAATTTCCTATTTACCACAAATCAGTGTCTTAATTTGATTGTGCTTTTATTTTTCATTTGACGTATTGCAGGAAGATATGAATTTTTCTTATCTTCTTTGCCTCTTTTCTCACTTGTTTAGATTTATCAGACGCAATCTACTTTCTAAGAGCTAATAAAAAAAATACACAAACGTAAGGTAGAATATTCGAAAACAAAACAACCTTGTGTTAAAACCATGAAAAATTAAACGATTTCATGGAAGAGAGGTTTTACTGAATATTTTCTACTCGTCTTAGATTTTCGCATTTTCTCTAGTTTTTTGTATTTAGTGACCATGTTAAAACTACAAACAGACATAAGTTAAAATTAGTTTAATTAAGAAATATACAGCCCGACATATTTATTTTGCGATAGATCGTTTTATTTCTTGTTGAAAGTGACAAAATCGGTCGGAGTATCCATGTCATTTATGATTCTTTGTTTATATTCATTGTTTTGTTTGATGAATTGAATTAAATTTATTTCTCGGTAATCCAGAGAAAAAATATTTCCAAGAACCCATATCCAAAGATTGATTTCTGACAAAAAAGCTTAAAACCAAGGGCTCAAATATATTTAATTACACTAAACAAAAGCCAAAAAAAATGTTTAAATATATTAAAATCAATATTTACTTATGAAAGTAATGAACAAACACGAATTACTGTATTATTAAAACACATTAAAAGTAATCATTTTATTAAAACGTACTTTTTCTTTTCCTCTAGCGGAATAATGTCAAATTGCAACTATAACTTCCATAAATAAAACAATGAGAGCATACATATCATTAATTAATCAGAATAAAATGAATTTATATTTACAGAATATGTTGAAGTTCATCTCTCTTTCATTGAGAACAAACAACGCGGTTAAGCTAAAATATTGAAAAATTATTTAATTGAAGTAACGATTATCAAATTATAAAGCACTTAAACTCACACCAATACATTTGTTTGTACGAATGAGAGAGTGCTAAAGATTACACGAAAGAGAAACATAGATGGGTAGACAATGAGTAACTGAAGGAGATGCTGCGTGAGATCGACAAAAAGAATCAGATAAACATAGGAAGAGAAACCGGAGGTTAGTTGGAGATTGAGTAAGTGAGTAGTGAATGAGAAATACGAAAGAAAATTAATGTTAGAAAAAAATATATATTTCTTTCATTTTATAGGAAGAGAGAGAGAGAGAGAGTGAGAGCGAGAGAGGAATGAAAACAGTGGAATAAATGAACGCAAAAAATGTAAATTGGAAGGAAGAAATTGACAGAAAAAAAATATAGAATACGAAGAAAAAGTACCAGACACAAGAACGTACTCTAAGGAAAAGTTAGGGTATTTATAGGTGGATGGATAGTGAGCGAGAGAAAGAGAGAGGTAAATGGAGAGAAAGTGAGAAAAGTAAAAATGAGGACAGAAAAATAAATTGATGACGAGGGTCGGATTGATAGTTACCCAAATAGATAGGTAAGCAATGAGTCAAAAGTACAACAAGAAAAACAAAGAAAGTTAGAAAAAATATATATAGATAGAGAAAAGGAAAGCGAATGAGAGAGCATTTTGACGATTGAACAAATGAATACGTCCGTGAGAGGGAAAGAGAGAAAGATTAAAGAGAGAAACAATGAGAGAAAGAATGGAAAAAGTCAAGAGAACAGAGCAAAAGACAGATAGGCAAATTAACAGATAACCAGATAGGGAAGCACAGAGAGAAAAATTTAATAAGAAATAAGAATAAGAAATAAAAGGGAGAGAGAGAGAGTGACAGACAGACAGAGAGAGAGAGAGAGAGAGAGAGAGAGAGAGAGAGAGAGAGAGAGAGAGAGAGAGAGAGAGAGAGGAATAAAAGCAGTGGAATATATAAAGGAAAGAAATGTAAATTGGAACGAAGAAAGAGACAGAGAAAAAATATAGAATAAAATGGAAAAAACAGAGGCAAGTGCGTACTCTAAGGAAGAGTGAGGGTATTTATAGGTGGATGGATAGAGCAAGAGAAAGAGAGAGGAAAGTGGAGAAGAAGTAAAAAAGTAACAATGAGGACAGAAAAATATATTGAAAACGAGGGTCGGGTTGACAATTACCCAAATAGATAGGTAAGCAGGGATTCAAAAGTACAAAAAGAAAATCAAAGAAAGTCAGAAAAAATATATATAAATATAGAAAAGGAAAGAGAATGAGACAACATATTTGACGATTGAATAAGTGAGTACGTCAGTGACAGGAAAGATATAAAGATTAATGAGAGTAACAATGAGAGAGAGTGAAAAAAGGTAAAAGGACAGAGAAAAAAGATAGATAGGCAAATTAACAGATAACCAGATAGGCAAGCATAGAGAAAAAAGTTAACAAAAAATAACAAAAAGCAAGAAATAAAAAGAGAGAGAGTGAGAGAGACAGAGAGAGAATGTTGTACATTGAATAATAGTGTTCATCTGTGACAGCGAAAAAGAAAAAGAATAAAGAAAGAAAACATATGAGAGAATGGGAATAGAAGGAGGAATAGGGAATAGGAAGAATAGTAAAATACAGAAAAACGAAAAAAAATAAAATGCGACACACTGATAGAGAGAGAATGTAAAGGAGTGGGTGAGATAAACAGGCAAGCAGACATAAAGTTGAACATAGTACGCCTTTTCTTAGCGTAACCTAATTTATACATATATTTTTTTAATGTGCCTAACCCCAAATTTACATAATTGGCTAACGATGATGATGAATAAATTCAAAACGATGATGATAAATACAAAACTACAGCTTTTTATTCTACTGATTTTAGTTGACTAACCTCTTTCTACCTATAGTACGAAGAAACTGCTGTTCCATGGAAATCTCATTAATTTCAGTCGAAGTCGTAAATCTAAGCGGTGAGTGATTTAAAGGTATTGCCGGACAATTGTACAAGGTAGTGTAAGGGCTTCAGGCGTCGGTGTTTAAACGCAATAACATTTTAAATCATTAATCATCAAGAAGAAGCCTGATTTTTTCTTATTAGAAACGCCTCGATTTTCAGCATAAACCTTTGTCGATAATGGAGGCCAGGAGAGCCAGGAAAATATTTTTCGTCAGATATCCCTCCCCCGCGGGCAGGACATATATTGACTGTTTCGGGTTTGGCTATTGTGCCGAGGTAGGCCAAAGACCGCCTCTTCAACCATTACCAATTGAGTTACTACTTAACTGAGCTGTTAACGACTTAAATTACAGGCTTAAAAACGGAAAACATTTGCGTCGTTAAATGCACTGTCATGTAAAGTTTTGGGAAACAAACAAGGGTGCGTGACGGATAATTATAACTTAGCACTTAGGAATCATTTAAGTATAATTTGACAAAACGCCTTAATCCTTGCAACGTTAATCGTAAATTGTCCTGTAAAAAACATTAATGGATTACAGATTAAAATGTTTTGTACATCATTTTGTATATAAGTTTAAGGAAAAAACAGCAATTTTTTAAAAATGTAGTGTACAAATTTTGAAAGACCAAGTGCAAACACGCTGTTCAACTAAAACCTTAAAACATTAGTTAAATATAATTATGCTTTCTTCTTAATGAGCATCAATTCTGTCCCAGTCAAACCTTCTTATCATGGGCGCATTTTGTCTAAAAATCATTTAAATCATATGTTTGTATCGTATTCTTTTGAAAATATATACGATATAACAGTTTTAAAATTTGCCAGTATTTTCTCTGAGGAATATCAGATCTTCATTTTTTCTATTTCTCCCTCTATGCGACTAGTAATAAGTATGCTGATATTCTTCAATCAGAAAAAAAAAGAATTTAATTCAAAATAATTAATTAAAATCATAACTTTGACAAGATCAGGATCCATTGGCCCTGATGGCATCTCCATCGTTATATTTGAAATTATCAAGGTAATTCTAAATAATGCTATGTATCATTTATATAACAGTTCTATAACGCACACATACCCACAATAATGGAAAAGCACTTTTGCTATTTAAAAAATTTCTACTCTAAATTATACATATTGTGCTATGGCAAAATTTTTCGACCAAATGTATACATTGAACTCAAAAACCATATTTTTTTCAATTTTAAGTCCAGAAGAAATGAGCTATCAACCTAAGTCAGAGTCTGCTTTAATTAGCATTGTCAACAATTATTATTCGGAAATCGTGAGATGCCGTCTAGCGTGATGTAGGTTTCAGAAAAACATTTTCTTTATCGTGCCAACGTTTCGATTTTTATTGAGATCATCTTCAGGGCCTGGGATTTTCAAACATTGTTTAAATATGACAAATACATGTAAGATGTGGAAAAAATTGAATTTATACAATGCAAAAAAATATTTTTTATATTCAATCAAAGTATTTCTACTACGCAGAAAACAAACATTTTGAGTGAGTAGAAATACTTTGATTGAATATAAAAAATATTTTTTTGCATTGTATAAATTCAATTTTTACTACTGAAGGGGTAGAGCAGCGGCGTATTTAGCCGAGGGTCGTGGGTTCGAATCCCGTTCGTGTCACTGACTTTTTATCTCCCCCAAAACCTTGCATAATAAGAATAATTAGTTTAATTCATACTACTTTTAGCTTGTTTTGTCAATTATATTTTACTATACTAGAGGAGAGGAATGTTGCTATTTATTTCTCATATCAGAAAGATCGGCTTTGTACACTTATTCTTTTCATTGTCCAAAATTTGTTCAATTGTTATGTTTTAACTCTTAATGTTCGAAAACGTGAGATAAGGTAAATTTGAGGGAGGGGGATAGAAATTCAGTAAGTCAGTTATGCATTCGAGAAAAGGGAAAACACGTTGAGCATTTCCTTTGAAAAGTTCTTTCTTTGTTGTTAGATGCTTGCTACAAGAACAACCATTGCATTTTATTGTATGAAGCTTTCAGGTATGGTTTTTGTGACATTACAGATGTCATTTTTATATTACAAAGCGATGCTAATTGATTTATTTCTACCCCCCCCTTCAAATTTACCTTATCTCACGTTTTCGAACATTCGATTGTTATTTTTAACTCTACTAGAACGTTATTTAAAAACCTGGATATATCAACGTAAAGCATATTAGATGAAGAAGTTTTTGTGAAATTTGACAAGTTGTAGGTATTTTTTTGTAACTTCAGTAGAACGTGCAATCATGACAAAATTTTAAATTTTGTAATTTTGGCATTTCCAACTGATATTGGCTAACATTTTATGTCATTCAGATTATTGCAAAGAATTATCTTACAGCAAATTTAGCCTTCTTTCAAATGGTGTAATTGGCTTTGTTGTAGTCTCAAGATTTTGGATGTTGTAAGCGTTTTAATGTGGTAAGGTAGTGAAAAGTTGAAAAAACCTGAATTGAAGAATATCTTCAAAATAGATAGCTTTCAGACAATTTTCTCCTGGGCATTTTTGCTCAAAACAAGAGTAGAATCGATCCCCTGAGTTTCGTCAGAAGGAACTGGGACACCCTGTATATACAAATGTGGTGATTTGTTGAATATTTTTCTGAGAATCGGGATTTACGATACCCTTATTCTTTAGATGTAACTGTATAAGGTCTTTCTTGTTAGAATTGATAATTGGCAAGGCTACAATTCGGAAGCACTTTCCCAGAAATTTGACGGAATAAACAAGCACGTTTATAATTATATAAAATATGATTAAATTCATCCACAGTCACTTATTTTTGTCAAGGTTTTGATGTTACCAATAAAACTTAAATTGGATAAACGTTTTTTATTAGCATTTATTTACAATATTGCATAACAATTTATTTGTTCAACGACAAATTAACAAGTTGAAGTTGACTCTCATTAGTTCGTTAAAATGATAACACTGCATGTGTGTTAAAAAACCTTCACATTTTAAAATGGCAAAACAGCTGCTCCAATATCAATGGAGCTTAACTTTTAGTGTTTATACTGTTAATAGTTTTAGAAAATAGTTAAAAATGTCCTTATTCCGTGGACTTGACAAGTCTGTGAACTTACACTCAACAGTGGCCGATAACCAACCGGCGTCCGATAACGATGACGATCGAGAGCTCAAAGAGGTAAATTGAATTTGTCCGTTTTTTTTAATATTTCAGCAATTCAAGACACACTTTGTTTGATAAAAATAATTATGTTCAGTACAGTAACTTTACCGCAGAGCATTTAGTGGAAGATAGTTCAGAATTTAAATGTAATAAGTTCAACTTATGACCTTGCAAGTGAACAAACTCAACACGAAAAATTACGTCTTTTTATAGTTAATTTAAGCTAGTGTTTGTTCATTCAATTAATTATTCTTTCTATGTAAGTTATTCTTTCTAAGTAAGGTCTTGGTAGAGATAAAAAAGTCAGTGTCACGAGCGGGATTCGAACCCACGACCTTCGGCTAAATGCTCCGCTACTCTACCATTTGAGATATCGTGACTTCTATCCTCTAGGGCACTATCTCTCCATCTCAACCAACAACCGTTCGAATTTTTCCTCTTTTTGCTCGTGTTCGTTGTTGAAATTGTCAAATAAATGGGAAAAGAATCGATTGTCTTTTACAATTTAAAATGATCCAATAGCTTCTAAAGCAGATTGGAGCGTTATTGCGGATTACATAGCTGCCATTTTACATTACCAAACTAAATACTCAGTTGTATAATCAAGATTACACATATATGATAACGATAATAAAATTTCAAGCGTTTTTTAGAGTCCTTCGACGTGGTTGGTACGATATTTTAATATAATTGTCTGTTTAAATTTCCAATAGCTGAATAATGTTGTGTAGGTACATTACAATTAATTAAGGTTTTCAGTTGAGATGAAAAAAAGTTAATGGCACGAGAAGGATTCGAACCAACGATCTTCGGCTAGATACGCCGCTGCTCTACCACTTGAGCTATCGTGACCTCGATCCACTCGGACATCAACTTCTTCCTATCTCAACCCAAGGTCACGATAGCTCAAGTGGTAGAACAGCGGCGTATCTAGCCGAAGATCGTGGGTTCGAATCCCGCTCGTGCCATTAACTTTTTTTCATCTCAACTAAAAACCTTAATTATTTGTAATGTATTAATTGGTCAAGCGGACCACGAAATTAGTGAATTTAAAGTTGTGTAGGTATTTTTCTTATACCACTTATGTTTAGACCACAAAAATTCTCAAATTGTATGCACATTTGAGCTCTTCAATTTACATTATCAAAGCGGATTTCAAGCTTGAGTAGGCAAAAGGTTGAAAAAAAAAATAAATAAACAAAGACGGGTTTGAATAAACTATTCGGGAAATAAGACATGTACCATACATAGTGTTTGATTGTATTATTGGGGGTAACTTGGTATTTTTTAAATTGTGTAAAAGCTATTAAGTGAATTCCTCATATATTTAAAATTCTGGCCAAAAGAAGGTTTTCAAGCTGCAAGATTTTTAAGTACCACAGCTATGAATGCGGCTCCTTCCGAGAATATTCTGATCCATTCTCATTATTACGTTCTCAAAGTAACCTATATTTATTGCAGTTGTAACGACTTTTTGCCAGAAATACAGTGTATCTCCAGCTCCTTCTTACATTTTAACATGCTTATTTATGCAGATAGTTCAGTTAACAGATCTACCGTAACCCTGTCTCAAAAACCAATTTTAAAGCAGAATAATTCACTGCGCTCTGCTTCATGACATCTGCTAATCATTATCAAAATCCCTATTGGACTCAAGACAGCTTCTTTATTTTTTTTAATTGTTTCTGATATCTTATCAAATGTATCGAGTAAAAAAACTGTTAGTATAGAATAGTAAAATATTGGTTTCAAGGTTCTGACACCAAATCAAAAGACTGAAGTGTCGATTCAATGTCCTTTTAGTAGTATTGATTAGTACTGAATGTCCAGGTATGGTATGGTATGATATGGTGAAGGATACTAGGAAGCTGGGTACACCAGAGAACAGCCTTCTGGCTTATTGTGTCTTCCTAGTTCCTTAGTTCAGTGCAATAGACTCTATTCTTCTCCTTAGCAGTATCAGGTCATTGACTGTCGCTGCTCCAATTTCATTCCCTAAGTTTTTTCGTATGTTAGGTTGAATCTCCATTGAGCTGTTGCTTCGCATTCGAAGATGGTATGGGTGGGTGTTTCCTACTACTCAATACATAATCTGCAGATGGGATCATATTTGTATATGCCAATGTTCTGTAGATGTTTGCATTTCTCAGATGCCAGTGACCGACTAGTAGTCCTATGACTCCTCTGAGTTTAGCCCTCTCCAGGTGCAGCAGTGATTTTACCAGTCTTGGAGAGGGTAGTTTCATTATAAGTTTACTATGACTAGCACCGCTAGAGTTTATCCACTTGTCCCTTTGTTTTGATTGGATCCATTCTGTAATGGAGGATTCTATATTTGTTTTTGTTATCCCAAGTATAGGTTCGGGGGTCTATGCATGGTCTTGTGGATCCTCCTCTGGCCAGTCTGTCTGCTTTCTCGTTACCCGAATTTCCTCTGTTCCCTGGCACTCAAGATACCATCAGGCTGTTGTGTTTCCCCAGGTTTTGGAGATTTGGAATGCATTCACTGACTAATTTTGATGTAATTTTTACATGCTAGTGCTTTAAAGGCTGCTTGGCTATCAGATCTAATGAGGATTTTTTGTCCAGTGTAACCTTTTTTCAGATTTTCCAGGGCATGTTTTTCTACTTGAAAGATTTAAGTGTACTTCCCTAATCAGTTTGATTGCTCATGTTTTGGGCTTGTACAATAAATGCCCGTTCCGGTTTCTTTGTTTTTTTTTTTAGTCATCTGTACACCATATCGTTGTATCTGATGCTCTCCTGTGTTCCATGGTAAGAAGACAATATAAATTAGATAGTAATAAGTTAAAATAGATGATATTATTAGGGTTAGAGTACAGATTTTTATGTAATGAATGAGTTGTCGTTATGCGATTAATTTCCTAGTTTGACAAATCTCATGATGCTTGAATTAGTGATGAGAGGAAGATTCGAGCTGCACGACAGGAAGTTAACACAGGGGGGGGAATAATTTTACTTGGTTTTATAGGGTGTTTGCTCTTCGTATGGGTAAGGGGTGTGGGAGGCGGCTGTGTCCCTAGATTAGACTGACTCTTGCTTGCCTACGAAATTGAGCCGGAATAACTCAACCAACGGCGAAGTCAGTTTGCTGGAAAATCGAAACTAATTCTACACGTCAGTTTGGGAGTTGTAGATCGTAGAGTTCAAGAACAGTCGACATTGCTCAGCGGTACAACTAACTTGATTGCTTATTTAACCCCATGAACAATCCGACACGGATTTGATCTCAGATTTGTTTCTTCGCTTCGTAAATATCCATTCCGTAGTTAACTGAATCAAGAAAATACATATAGATTTTGTTGAAAGTAATAAAATCTTACAGTATAAAAAACATATTGTTGTACCACCCTACCATCCAAGTGTATAAACATTTTTCAACAGTAAATAATTAAAATTCAATATTTATAATATAATTCTACTTCTTCTATATGTCTTTTTTATTTAATATACAGGGTGAATTGCTACTCGTGCTACAAACTTCTCCAGTAGATTCTTCACCCTAAAATGAACAAAAAAGTTCATATTGTCCATGGTCCGATTCTCAACCATTTCAGAGTAATTTCGCTTTTTATCGATTTTGAAAGATATCACGTCCTGGCGTCGGAAAATCGTGATATCTTTTAATCTAAACATTTCTCTGAAAATCTAATAGCACCGTTGAAATTCCCGTTAATTTTTCAATAAGAAGATGACGGTGGCAAAATGTTTGGGCTAATTTTTTGTGTTTTATTTCAGCCAGAACTACAAAAAGAGTGGAAAATTGTGTAAATCGGAAAGTGTATAAAGTAATCCAGAGTTTCTAATTTTAGTCTCAGAAGGCAGCAAATTTGAGGAAAACTACCTGATTTAATAACGCTTCCAACGCACTCGTCATTTTCTTATTTAGTGGTTGTGAGACCAAGATGTTGATGACAAAAAGAGAAAAAATGGTGGTTCAAGGATTGCTAATGTTTGAGAGTGACTTGCTACTCGTGCTACAAACTTCACCAGTAGATTCTTGACCCTAAAATGAACAAAAAAGTTCATATTGACCATGGTCCGATTCTCAACCATTTCAGAGTAATTTCGCTTTTTATCGATTTTGAAAGATATCACGTCCTGGCGTCGGAAAATCGTGATATCTTTTAATCTAAACATTTCTCTTAAAATCTATAAGCACCGTTGAAATCCCCGTTAATTTTTCAATAAGAAGATGAAGGTGGCAAAACGTTTGGGTCTTTCTTCCTTGACCTTCTAGCTGTTTGTAAACTTCTTAAGCATTACATACTAAATGGGCATTAAATTAAATTAAAAAATTTCAATGGAATTATGATTTTGATTCTCTCTAAAAATTAACGGGGATTTCAACGGTGCTTATAGATTTTAAGAGAAATGTTTAGATTAAAAGATATCACGATTTTCCGACGCCAGGACGTGATATCTTTCAAAATCGATAAAAAGCGAAATTACTCTGAAATGGTTGAGAATCGGACCATGGACAATATGAACTTTTTTGTTCATTTTAGGGTGAAGAATCTACTGGAGAAGTTTGTAGCACGAGTAGCAATTCACCCTGTATACAACGTTTACAAGTCGGAAATATATATTACAACAAGAAAGACGTTCCCCATTGTTTAAAACCCTCTAACGAGGTATAGGACATAAACTTAAATAATTATTGAATAAAATCTCTCTTCCGAGCATTTACAAGTATTTATAATTAGTATATAAAATATATAAAAAAATAGTATATAAAATATATATATAGAGTATATAAAAAATTAATGTAACAAATTTGTGGAGGAGGTTTGTGGTATGTATACATACATACATACATACATACATACATACATACATATATATATACAGGGTGAATTGCTACTCGTGCTACAAACTTCTCCAGTAGATTCTTCACCCTAAAATGAACAAAAAAGTTTATATTGTCCATGGTCCGATTCTCAACCATTTCAGAGTAATTTCGCTTTTTATCGATTTTGAAAGATATCACGTCCTGGCGTCGGAAAATCGTGATATCTTTTANTATATATATATATATAATCTTCCACAGATTATAGGTATACTTTCTTACTTTTAATATATATTTCCGTAATCTAATAATAAAACATAATTGAATGATAATAGCAGAACTATAGCTTACAAATATATACATCACTTATTAATGATAACCTATAAAGCACACAACTCATCCAATAAAATAAGCCAAAATAAAGTAAATGGAAATAATAAAAACAAACGTAAATAATAATCAATTATATTACATACCACAAGATATAATAATAAATAAAAACCAAAACAAGTAAAAAATGTTTAGATAATTGTGGGGAGTTAGGTCAAAAAATAAAATATAATTGATTAAGATCCATTACAGAGAGTTATTCGATCCTACACAGATACATCTCATATATAGTTCAAAAAACAAACAATTTACGACTAACTAAGATATTTTAGACACTAATCTCTGTTCAACTGGAAAGTAATTTAATATCCTAAGATATCAGATTTTTTGTTGAACACCTCATAGTCACACTTCTTTGACTTCCTCCCCTTTATCTTAAAATCAAATTTTGTTTGCCTGGATTTTGCAGGATTCCTGTTATCGAATAGTACATTTTTGTTTCCAGTTTAAGCGATATGCCAGCGAAAAGAGAAGTTTGGAGTCTTGGGAGAAAGTATCTTCCAACTGCGTCAACAATAAAGCTCTCCTGTACATGGAGATGGAGCTCACCGTTAACGAGCTGGACCGGTTCGTTAAAGACGTAGAAGCGCAGGCGAAGCTCAGGCGATTCAAAAGACGTATAAATGATCTAAAAAATATATTTATGATAAGATTTCAACGTTATTGTTTGACTCGCAGGCACCTATTCGAGAGGAGATTGGAAAGAGTTTAGACAGAAAGAACAGGACTTCGCAGAAAAGTTAGAACTGGGTAAAATTGTGATGAAAAAACTCCTGGATGCAGTTACATGCGACCCGGACCCGATTCTTGACGAGCCCCTCGACGAAATGCTGTCCGTCTCGAGTAAACTTGGCTACATGAGTGAGTTTATTTTTTTTTTAAAGAATAGTATTAACTAGTAATATTAATAATCCATTAGGTTTCGTGATCCGATTGAACAAATAAATTATTTTTAATTAATTAATCTTTAAGTAAGGTATTGGATGAGATAAAAACGTCAGTGCCATGAGCGGGATTCGAACCACGACCTTCGGCTAAATATATCGCTGCTCTGCTACTTGATCTATCTGACTTCTATCTTCTCGGACTAGAACTCTCCATCTTAACCTACAACCGTTCGAATTTCCCTCTTTTTGCCATTTTTGAAGTTGGGAAGTTGGTGTTCGAGTGGATAGAAGTCATGATAGCTCAAGTGGTAGAGGAGCGACGTATTTAGCGGAAGGTTGTGTGTTCGAATTCCGCTCGTGCCATTGACGTCTTTTCATCTCAACTAAAAACTATAGTTAATTGTAACTGTTGTAAGGGAAACAATACTATTGTTTTCTCTTGGGGGTTTGAGAGTTAATAAATCTATTATTAGGTGCTTTATGCATCCATCGCCAGCGAGAAGATAGCGACCGACCAAAACAGCGAAGATGAGCGTATCTGCATAAACCGAAACGACCAAACTACAATACCGTTTTGGGCTATTGTACGGATGACAATAGTTTTTGTTATTGGGGTCTGAGTATTGTTAAAACTTCATATAAGTCGATAATTCTTGCAAAGGCAGATAGAAGGTATTGACTGACCAAAACACCGAAGATAAGCCACCTAGGGTGAATGAAAGTGTCCAAACAATAATGCAGTTTGGACTGTCGTACGAAAAAAGGTTTTTGATATTTTATCTTTGGAAATGGCAGATGATAAATATGTGAATATATCGATCAACCAAAACAGCAAGAATATACAGACCCAGATGAGCAGAAAAATTCTAAACCCCAATGCAGTTTGAACTATATGGACTATTTTTAGAAAAATAACTTTTTGGTATTTTCCTTTGGACAATGAGAAATAATGAATATGTGGTGTCATATTCTTGCCGCACTAGACGGAAAATGCAGACTGTACCAAACATCGAGGATAAGCGGACCAGGATAAACGGATTCGACAAATCACAGAAAGAATTCAACAAAAAAATTTGCAATTGTACTACAAATTCATATTATTACTATTTTCAAATTTTGGACAAAATGTTAAAGTAATTTTCTATTCAATAACGAGATTTGAACGGGACGATCCTGTCCGACAACAAAATTTGTTTATTTTAGACCAACAAGAGCAAACGCACGCTCACAAAATTAATATTAATCATTACAACACACATGGTGGCAATTATAAAAGCTCATCTAAGTAAGAAAAGCTGTGTTTGCAGCTTTCTTTTTATTTGTTACAGTGCTACAAGGATGAGAGAGTTGAAATAACGTCCCTCCCCCTCTGAATGTTCCCTTTGTAAGCTGACAAAGGCTTCAATCAGGCTGTGACAAAGGAAAGATTGCAAAAACGTTCGAAACTTCGCCGACACTTTAGGTTTGCATGTTAACCAACTTGGAGTCAAAGAAGCAGCCGCCCCCTCACCGGTATTAAAATCTGAATTTCAATGGAATCCGTTGCATCCCTGAAAAACCTTGAAAATGTGTTCTCGAAAAAGAAAACACTTTGAATAGTAATGCTCGTTTGTATTGGGAATGTTTGGAAAATCAGAGTCAAATTACGATTTCTTATCGGTTGAAATCGATGTTGCTCAGATTATTAGTATCAAATGAAACAAAATAACAAAATGAACAAAAACAAAACAATAATAAATGTAATATTTTTTCAATTAATTAATCTTTATGTAAGGTATTGTTTGAGATAAAAAAAGTCAGTGGCACGAGCGGGATTCGAACCCACGACCTTCGGCTGAGATGGGAAGTTGGTGTCCGAGTGGATCGATGTCACGATAGCTTAAGTGGTAGAACAGCGGTGTATTGAGTCGAAGGTCGTGGGTTCGAATCCCGCTCGTGGCACTGACTTTTTTATCTCAACAATGCCTTACTTAATGTTTAATCTGGGGCGTCGGTGGCCGCAACGGTTTAGGTGTTGACACGGCGCTCATCACTGGAAGATAAAGGTCCCGGGTTCGAATCCAGCGACGCTGCCTTATACTTACAATACTTACAAATTGGCTTTTTTTCAAAAACACCGACACACTGAGGGTTTATATAACCTCTCAAGTTGCGAACCGTCGTAAAAAAAATTAAATTAATTGAAAATAATTTATTTAGCCAATCGGGCCACGAAATCTAATTGATATAAAATAATGATGTGCTTTGAAACTATCATAAACAAATAAATTTTAAAAAAATTATTTCACTACTACTTTTCTACTAGTTTAGACACGACAACCTTAAGAATTTTTATTCAAATTAAGTTAATATTTGTAATTTATACCACCTTTAAAAAGTACAAAAGTAAAAAAAAAAAATCCCACCATTATAAAGAGAGGGTTAGCTTTCCTTTTATAAAATTCATGTGAGCCAGGCCATGAAGGTGAACGTGTCACATTTTATTACAAATCTTTCGTCAACTTCATGTAAATTCTAAAATAAAAGTTTTTTCAACAAACTCAACTCCCTTGACGAGGTAACCTACATGTTCGTACGGTATTTTCCAAACTTTATGGAGAATTTCTTTGACTGCGCGCTCATGTGTGTCTGGCACAGGGCTTTCTTCGTCGTCCTCATTATTAAGAAGAAAGTTGTAATTGCAAATTCCCGAAATCCCACTTTTAGAAATTTAACGCTTTAATAACCCTTTCTCCGCACTTGAATGTTTAATTACACTCTAATTAATAAATGCTTGATTGGGAGGCGACAGGTGGAGACTGTCTTATTTGCAAATCTGATCAGGGCCGGGAGGTCTGCGATGGACAGCTGCTTTGAACCAGGTTCGTTTATACCGGGATTATACTAATTATACAAAGCTTGTTGACCAGGGAAGGACATTGGGCATTGAACACCTGTTCGGGTTACTGATAAATTTTAAAATGCTTGAAAATATTTACACATATTTAAACTGTGTTATATGTTATGTGCTAAATGTCTGTAATTAGATTTCGCAACTTACACGCGTTAATACAAGGTGTCCCGTGAACTGACGTCAATATTTGTGAAGGTTGTTCTACATGTTAAATGTGACTAAAAGTTTCTATTGCCTATTGTCTGATTCTTAATTGTAGTCGAGATATTTCACTTTTAGTATTACTTCATCCTTCACAACTGTTTCCTATAAAGTGTATCATAAAATTGTAATCCTACTGTAAATTTGATTGCATCAGTACAAAGTGCATTATAAACCCTAGGAGATTCATTTGTCTTTCCTTATTGTAAACTTAGGTGAGCAAAATGCAAGATCAGAAAATAAATTTTAACGTGTTTCCAAAGTTTGTGTCTAAATATTAAATAACATTTTCTTGACCGTAAATATTGTCAGATAAGGCGATTAAAGACATGACCCAATCGATGAACTTTAAATAAATGTGCTTAATTTTTTACAGATCAGTTATAAAACAATTTACGTTCAATTACAAAAAAATTTATTTTTTGTTACAAATTGTTTACCGAAATTATTTCTTAAGATTTTGAAACATCTATCAAATTATAATGAAAATACTCCTAATTAGACAAAAATGCTTTTTCGCACAAAATTGAAAATAAGGAAAAGTTCAAGCTTTTAAAATTTAAGTTAAATGTTTAGAAAATCCACCTTTTTGAAGAATACAAGCCAGACATCGTTTCTTGACAGATTTTCCTGCTTTCATGCTTTTATCCAGTCCCTTTTTTTTCATAAGAGCACAGGATTACTAAACCCTTTCTATGAGGTCGTTCTTAGTCGTGACAAGTACGGAATAGACTTCATTTTTGAATATTCATAACGTGTGTGGTGATTAGTGACCTTTAGTCGATAATTATTCAGAAGTCATGAGATGCGGTCTGGCGTGATAAGGTTTCAGGAAAACATTTGCTTTATCGTGCCAACGTTTCGATCTTTATTGAGATCATCTTCAGGTCCTGGGATTTGCAACCATTATTTAAATTTAACAAATACATGTTCATAACAATTTGATTTTTTGTTGAAAATAGTGTAAAACTTTAGTGATTAAGGTTTTCAAACTTCTATTACAAATAAATTAACTAATACAAAGTAAACATAAAAAGCTTTTTTTAAATTGAATATAACAAAAAAAATAAGCTCAGATTTAACCCGGATGAAGTACTTCATGTGATGAATATTTATTCGGAAATCGTGAGATGCGGTCTGGTGTGATGTAGGATTCAGAAAAATATTTTCTTTATCTTGCCAACGTTTCAATCTTTACTGAAATCATCTTTAGAGCCTAGTATTACAAACATTGTTTAAATTTAACAAATACATGTAAGATGTGGAAAAAAGTTGAATTGATACAATGCAAAAAATATATATTTTTTATATTCAATCAAAGTATTTCTACTCCTTAAAGTGTTTGTTTTCTGCATAAGTGTGCCATTCTTGGTGTCGTGTTGGGAGTAGAGTAGAGAGTTGGTGTGCCAACTAACTAATGTTGTATTTTTTTTCCTTATGAAATTCCTATAAAAAATGAATCTCTTAGGGCGTTTAATATATTTTTTATTGGTGTAATCAAATTTACACTAAATTAACATTTTATGAGATAAGGAGAACTTTGTAGAACTAGATCGAGAAAGCTTGACCTTGAAGTAACCTAATACGTGAAATATCTGGATTCAAATTTTCAATTCAAAATAAATCTTTGTACAAAAGGGATAGGGATTAAAGAGAAAGCCAAAGTGCCTTCTCCTAGAGGGATACAATCGAAACTCTGATAAAAAAAAAAGAAAAACAGCCACATTATAGACAGATAGCTCTTTATCCCTGGTCTCGATTCAAGACTGTCAAAACCACTCGCTTCTTTTTTAAGAAATCAGGCAATTGGTTTTCCACCTAGAAAATTCCGACGGTTGGTCTATAAGCATGAAGTGGATAAAAGCTCACTGTGGATTCAC